TTTGCCAATTTTACTGCCATATTTCGACACAATATGCACAAACTCTCACAATGAACTCTGGCTGGTGGTTCAATATGCCTGTCAGACATTTGTCTGATGAAGATTAATTAATTAGTTGAAAATTTAACATGATTATACTTGTGAATGCCTTTAAATTCAACAAATATTTGGCCATAAAGCAACACAAATGTGGAAAAGTTTAGAATTATGCTAACTTGGCTGATTGTTACTTAACTTCTGCCGTTGCTGCAGTTTTACCGTCTTTATTTACGTCCACTCCATGTATGATAATTTTCTACTGTTCCACTGCCTCCCAAAGCTGCCCTATTGGATTAAAATTAGCATATATAGAACTTTCAAATAGAGTGACTTTATTCTTATGGTGAAGCGATATGTTTAAGATGTCATAAGTTTTATTCTGCCAGTAAGAAAACAAAAAGTGCCATATTAAGGGATGGTACAGGTGACCCTATATGTTTAAATGTGAGTTGTCTATGGTTTATCGGTCATTATGTTACGTTGTCCTCTCTGCAGGTCTCTCTGAAGTGCAGAGCTCCGGAGGTTTCACAGTGTGTGTTCCAGAGCTACGAGGCAGTGCTGAAGAACTAAAGAAAATGACCCTACACCGACCACCTGCTGCCCTCAGTCTCCTCTCACCACTCTCTGCTGCCTCAGTCGTACAGACAGCATCTGTATTTTCTTTCACATGTTCATTTAGGATGTGTAACTGTCTCATTCTGAATCAACATCTCTTCCCTGGTTCATTCTTCGTAACTGGTCAGATCATGACATGAACATGAAGAATGTTCACTGGTTATGAATGGCCTGAGTGAAGCCTTCTTCCTCCTCCATCTCCACCTCCTCTTTCCGGTCTCTGAGCCATTCTGTTGTGACCTTCAATATTTTAGGCTGAATGACTCGTGTTCTCCAGACTTCTTCTCTGCATGAGGCTCCTTAATCAGTATCTGGCCTCACTTCCAGAAAATTACCATTACTATCTATTTTTAGCGTCTGCAATCAGCAGATGAGGCATCACCAAGGGCATATTTATTTACGGGGTTTGTTTTCATTTTAAATGCAGTGTAAAAATGCAGATTTAAATCTCCGTCCTCCTCCCTCTGTCTGCTTGGATTGAATTGTCTGGTTTGCAGGAGAGACAAGTACAAACTATGTTACTGCTGTCTTTGTCCTTGTAGAGTTTTCTTAAGCGTCCTCAAGTCGAGATGTGTGTTTTCTTATCATTTTACATCAGTACAGTGATAAGCAGCAGTTGTCCACTGCTGTCTGACTTAGTCATTCCAGGGTTTTGTGGGCTGTGTTATTAGTGTTGTTAGAGTGACAGACTGAGCTCAGGTGTAAGTGTGTCAGTGACCTGACTGTTCTGCCACTTTATTTTTCGTTTTGAATCTCATCCTTCTCATCTCTGCTATTTAAGCTCCATGGCCACCTAAGATGAAGCCTCAGGTGAGGTCATGCTGTCTATGTGACATCACGGTGTGGTAACACTGGTGAATAATAAGTGTATATGTGGGAAGCCCACACAGATAAAGCAGGGGTAAAACAACATGCCAGGACAACACTGCTGCCGCTGCTCTTATTCCCTACTGATTAATTACACAGAGTCATTTCACTCGGGCCCTTTGTCGACGCTACCGTATGTGTGTCTTTTTTTTGTTTTTGTGTGTGTGTATGCACACACCCCATCTACTTTGACACACTGCAGACTGTGATGGCTGTGTGATCTAAGTGTGTGTGTGTCTGTGTGTAGTGACAGCTGAGTCATATGAAATGCTGTTTGACAAAAAAAAACTTTAATCAAATATTTTTGATTACGATTTTGTTTGTTGTGTGTACATCATTTGAAGAAAAAAAAATTAAAGTCTTGTTAAATTCACGTGTTGACGTTCATTATTCATTTGTCACGCAGAAAATAAACTTTCTTTGGTAAAATAAATCCAGCAAATGTTGTCTGAAAAATTTAATCATTGTTTGCCATCACTGTCTTGGTTTTACTTCATATAAATATTATTTGCAATGTATAGTTTGAAAACGAAGCAGGGTAACGGAACAGAAGGTCGTAGGCATTAAGACAGAAAATTAGTGCACGGCACACAGGTTAATTCTACAACGGTTCTTGATCAAAGGGTTTTTGTATAGAGATGAGTGCAAAAACTGTAAGGCACTTTAGGGCACGTCGCTCTGGAAGCAGGTGAAAAAGTTTTGAGGTTTTGAGGTTAAATGTAATGTAAAAAGTATGTGTGTGATTTCTGGGGCCTTGTGTGTGTTGCAATACAAGTCCACCTGTTATTGCTAAATGTGACTACATGAAGCGTAGATTAACAAATTAAAACATTTAGGATTTTACATTATTTTATAAAAACACTTGATATATATTTTTAAATTAAATTACATCTTTCTCCTCAATTTAGTCTTTGTCTGAATCTTAGAAACACTGTTATCCTTAGACTCGTAAATTAGATTTTATTTCTAACAAATCATTAACCATGTTTTTTTTTATCACATCCTGCTTTTTCTGGAGTCTTCCTGTCAGCAGGTACAGCAAAACATCTCTGTTTTGTTTGCTGTTCAAAGTCCTATGACTCAGACCTGCTGTGGTTCAGTGTTCAGTGTGTGTTGCTGCACAGACTGAACACCATAATCACAGATCAGCTCTGATGTATTCTTATCTTCTCTCGTGGGTCAGTTAGATCTGCTTCAGTTTTACTGACTAAACGGCAGCCACAGAGTTAGCTTTCAAAGGTTAATTTAGAGTAAAGTGCTTACTCGGAGTAGAACAGCTCCTTTGAGAAAGTATAGTCCCAGTTGCCTGTGTAAACTTAATCACAACTACAGCAGCAATGTGATCCAGTGAGTAATATAAACCAAAATTTTAAAGTGTTCCTCTGGGAGGTCAGTGGAACAAAGGTCTGATTGGGTTCTAACTTGTTCCCCTGGTATGGTCTATTATGGTCATCAACACCTGGGTTTAAACCCAAAGATGGGTAATTTCCAACAAGTTAGTCTCTCAGTGTGTCCCAGCCCTTTCGTTTAAAAGACCTTAAAAGTTCAAGGTTTTATAACCGTGACAGGAATCAATCTTTTATGTGAGCCTTCTGAATAGTAAAAATCCTAACTAGTCTCTAAGCATGCTTTCGATCTGGGATTATTTTATATTTAGTTTGGCCAGATTTTCAACGTGCATTTATGTTGGCTAATTGACAGCAAGCAGCTACAAAATTTTGATCAAAATTTATAATGCATTGAAAAACATTGAATGTTTTCAGTACTTCAAAGTATTTCTTATTTCAAGCAGGTTTTAACTGATGATTTTAGTAGATAATGTTTATGGTGAACTGCTAACACTTCACGACACAACTCAAGGGATGTATTGTGGGAAGCATGTTGCTAGGCTACAGTGAATGTTGCGTTCTTGTTCTGGAGTTCTCAGTCTGGGCAGCCTTGAGGTCACGATGGAGCTGCATGTGGGCCATGCAGCACTATTAGAGGAAGTCAGCTTCAGATTGTTGACAGACAGAATAGACACAGGTTTGTATAATTTTTTACAACATTTTCTGCTGGTGTGCTCCTGTTTTCCTACAGATGTCACCTGATATCAACATGACATGTTCTTATTATGGCCAAGGTAAAATCCTACAATATGTGTACCAAATATATATGTACCAAATCAATATAAACCAGTAGACATAATTTGCTGTGAGATGTTGTCCATGTAAAGTTAAGCATATAGATGTAAAAATAAATAATAAAAGATTACACACATGATACAATGTGGACAAAAAATGGCAGGTTTTTCCCATCCAGATCCAATCAGATGTCATTAGAACCCAGAAACCTCAATATTATGTTTCAAGAAATCACTGTAAGTGAAATAACAAAATATAGAAATAACAAAATACAAAAAACAGCATTTGTTTTAAAAAAAGGTTACACAAACCAAACCATGTTGTTGCGATCTCCAGCAGTGGGAAATAAGTTGAGACACTAGAGATTCTCCAGATGTTTCTCAAGAGGTGCTTTGTATATAAATCGAAACCAATGTTGTTTTCGTCCCATTTTCTATTGACTGCCACCCAGTCTTGGAAAGAGTGCAGTGACGCGTTTAAAGCCGTCTCATGAATCTTAAAACAAAGTGTTGGCTGCACTCAGATGCCTACAAAGAGAGACTGAGTCAGGCATATAAATGATATCAACATACTGCATTACAGAAACATAGAAGGTTAGCTAGAACCACTAAGTCATTTTCTCAGCTAGAGTCCTCTGAAGGTCAGGTATGAGACACATGACCACTGATGAATTGAATTTATAATTATCTTCTAAAGACCAGTCACAGCCTTAACTCTCAGATGTGACACTATGTAAATAATTAAGGAGGCTGTCAAAGACAGTTTGTTAAAATTGTCTAAGGTACCGTTTATAAATTATAAATGATATTATATTATAAAATATTTAAAACTCTAAACTAGTCAAGTAGTGAAAAAGAAAATATAGTTGCAGTCCAAAACATCCAAAAACGTGTCATGAACTTTGAACCACAGGAGCTGCGGCGTATCCATCAGCTGTTTGCAGAAATGTTTGAAATTGAAATGATGGAGCATCAACAGATTAAAAATATGGCAAAAATATGCAAAATGCCTACTTCATACCCGTGGAGCCCTGCTTGGATTTTCATACATGATCTGACTTTTTTATATTGTGTGCCCTATCTCTGTGGTAGTATGTGGCGGTCGTTACTCAAACTGGTCACCATGCAGTGAATCTGTTGCCCCTGTGTGCTGCCATCCTGCAGTGATTGATGGTACACATGGACCTTGACCTGCTGAGGGGCTCAAACCAATAAAAAGTGAAGGCTTCTTAGAGAGATGGCACTGAGTCTTAATGCAGCAACTCCATAACCTGGACACAAGAGATGTGTGCTGTGGCCTGTCCCTGTGCCATTGTTGTAGGAGAGCTTTCAGGCAATCCTATTGGATGAGAAGCACAGGGAGAGAGAGAGGAGGAGAGAGAGAGAGAGAGAGAGAGAGGGGAGGGTGGGGAGCAGTGTTCAGCAGCTCGGCAGAGACACACTCCTCATTAACAGGCTCCAGATGCCAGATGCCTTCACTGAGAAGACTTGTATGCGAGCTGTGTGTATTCTTTCCTCTCTTTTAAAGCCTTTCACTGTGAACTGATCTTTCTTCCATCAATGGCAGAGGAATATTATGGGCTTGTATCAAATTTTAGAACACGTGGACAGCTTATTTACCATATTGTGGTCAGAGGTGATGGAGAAACGCTGTGGTGGTGCAACAGCAACAGCAGCAGCCGCAGCCGCAGCAGCAGCAGCAGCAGCAGCAGCAGCATCAGCATCGGTGGAAACCAGAGTGTGACGAGGCGTTAAGGAGATAATCAATGAGGAGAGCCAGGGCTCTGGTACGTTTGGACAAGGTCAGAGTCTAGGACTGGCTGAGATTATGTCCATGTGGAGACAGAAACAACAACAAGAACCAGAAAAAAGACAGACTTTGACGCTTCCTCTAGAGGGGACGAGGTTGTCCAGGGATGTCCCCTCTGAAAAGCAGGACTTACTACCTGTGCGTTGGATTGCAGAAGCAACCAATTCCTTCAGCATTTGCATGATTATGCCTATGCTTTATTTTTGACAACCTTCATCCTAAGACTGCGTGGCTTCGCTTTCTCTCAATTCTCTTACTCCTTCACACATCCACACTGGAGTTAAAGTTTCTTCCCTGTCGCTGACTTGGTTTAATTGTGCTCAGTTAAAGGTAGTTAAGGTGACTGTCAGTCTCTGTTGGTGGTGTTAGTGGAAAATCCAGGAGGGTTTGATTCCCCCCAGAACAGCAGCACAAACAGCCCCATCTCCTGCTGTTGCTGTTCATGGTGCTGACCTCGGGCTCCAGGAATGGTGGAGACGCTGAGTATCGCTGTCATCGGTGCTCCAGGAGTGGGCAAAACTTCCATAATCCGCCAGTTCATCTATAACGACTTCTCTGAGGTGTACACGCCAACAAGGAGCAGATATGTGTACAGACCCTCTGTTATTCTAAATGGAAACATGTATGAGCTGAAGATTTTGGACATCCCACCAATCTCCTCGTTTCCATCCAGCTCCAGTCAGGTATCATTTACACCTGTGCTTTTTAAAAATATATAAAATATAAAGACAATGGCTGTAAATAGAGAGCATGTGGCATGTTTACTCACCTACCCTCACCTAGCTGCCCCGTTGAGTGCTCTAGAATAACATTGCTTTAAAAGAATAAATCCTGGAAAACAGTCAAGTTGTTTTTTCTAAAGTAAAAGTTAACTTTTTGGTAAAACATTACTTTTTTCTATTTCTATTTACTTCTTCTATTTCTTTTTTTTTCTATTACTTCTTAATCCACTATTTAATGTTCTTCTTTTCTACTTCCTTTGGTTTTATTAGCAGCCTAAGGTAACCTTTCTGATCCATTGTAATGGGTAAACACAGGTCAGAAAGAAGCTTTCCTGCAGATGAACACCATGCACATAGAAACTAATTTCTTCTGTGTATTCTAATGTATTTCTTTAATTCTTTCATACCTTCAAGTTTATTAGAGAAGGTTTTATTACTCTCTCTCTCTCTTTCTTCTTTACAACCTTCATCTCATTTGATACATCTGTCCCTCTTTATTTAATTGTCTGCCTGTTTACAGCCGGTGGCATTTCTTAAAGACGAAACGATCAGTTTTGTTTATTCTTCTGTCACTATCACATGTCCCTTGTCTGTCGTTGCTATGGAGACTCCACTGACTTAAAGCCTCAGAGAGGCTCTTTTTTACGTTGTTAATTCTCTCCCTCTCTCTCTTTCTCTTTCTCTATCTCTCCCGTCATGTAAATAGGAATGTGAGCTTGCAATTCATTTGTTCTTCCTGATATTACAAACTCTCAACAAAAAGCTGTGTTACTTCAGATGAGCTTATCCAACATGTAGTTTTTCTTTTATGTGTGTGTTTGTCTAGAATATAAGCCCTGTTGGCATTTGCCACAACATCTGGTTATAAATAGAACATTGCCCTTTATTCAAGGCTACAGGTCACATGTCAAAGCTTATTAGATGGAGATGCATCTGACAAAAGCATATCTTTGACAATAGAATACTAAAATCCTGAATTGTTTTGCAAAAAGCAAGATTGTATTGTAATATCTTAAACATTTTTACATGCTTTTAAGTGTAACATCACAATGTTGACTAAAACATGTAGAATAACATATAATTCCTTCTATCTTTCATTAGGTATATAGTTTGCCTCCTCTGGGCTTCATTTAACATAATGGTTTTCACACAGAAGATCATTTTTGCATGTTAAATGCATTTATGAAATAGGTTATAATAAAAACATTTAATAATGTATGGTAACTCTAAACTACCAACAGCAGAACAACAAAGAGAAATTAAATATACAGAAATTGAAGAAAAAAAACAATCTTACATATCTTTTAAAACTATTTTGACTTTATGGATGCATTGTTGAAACCAATATACTACTACAGTAAATAAAAATATTTCTCTGTTCACACTGCTGTGTGAGATCTGGCTAACAACTGTATGTTAAGATTTTTCTTTATTATGAAATTGTTATAAAACAAAACAGTTTCCTTCACAGCTGCTCATTTACTTTCATCTCATGTCTTTAGTTCATTAATGTTGCACAAATTGACCTTGTACAGTATCTTCCGTGACAGCATTCATGAAATATCTGTGGCAGCTCACTCTACCTTCTGTCTGGCACCTTCTTCTTCAGCCTCTGTTGTCCAGTGTCTCCACTATCTCTTCAGCACGTGTCCAAACCATCTGAAGCGTGACTTTCCCACTTTATCTTAGCCCAAGCTGTCCCTCTGATCTGCTCATTGGTAATCCTGTCTGTCTTGGTCACTTTCATTCAAATCTCAGCATCTTTGACCCTGCCACCTCTACCTCAGACTTGTTGTTTAGACGGTTCTCATCGTCTCAACCATCTTGTAAAATTACCATTTATAAACACACTTATGCAGGCCTTGCCTCCCTTCCATTGCTGACAGTGGCTGTGACGCTTTTAAGATAGACATCTCCAAGGTCAGCACACCATGCTGGCTGTTGCTTGCTGCTGTTTCGTCTCCCTATTCTTCTCTTCTTTCTCCAGTGTCGCACTAATTCCTTTTAAAGAACAGCTGTGCTATCTGCACAGAAAAGGTTGCAGTGAAGAAATAAGAACCAGGGCCAAGCAGGAGTCCAAACAGCACTGTCTGCTGTTCAGAAATCCCTACAGAAACACATGCAACTAGCAGGTCTATTAGAAATGTAAGATTCTGTTGTGTGCAGCAACAAGGTCTGCTTCATTGGGTTTCATTGTTTCCTGTCCACAAAGAAGCTCTTTATTGCCTCTCCCTCTCTCTATCTGTTTCTATGTCTCTCTTTCTTTCTTTTGCTAAATGGTGCTTAACCTCCACTGGGGAACAAAAGACAACACTTTAGGTTGTGTTTCCTGAGTGAACTGTATGTGCACAGAGTAAGTGAGGGCATTTGTCCCTTAGGTTGAGTCACATGAGAGTAAAGCTAATAAACATAGATGACATACGGTGAGAAGATTTCACGCTCATTTTCTAGTGCTAGGACACTGAGCAAATGCATATGTGCAGCTGAAGAAAAACATTAGCTGAGCACTGCTACATTTCTTCAGGACTTAGATTTATGGTCACTCATTTGCTGAGGAATGATCCTTAAAGGCCTATGGTTCCCTCTCTTCACTCCTGTTATTGGTCTACCTGTGCTGATCCATTGCTCTGTCCGCTGATGTTTTCTTTTTGACTCAGTGGGCTGCTCTGAATTTACCTTGTGTGCAGGGAAATGTAAACAAATTTGGAGCAGAAATCACAGTGGGTACAGAGTGGTGCCAGCTCTAAGAGAGCTACTTACCAAGAGCAGATTGAATCACATTTGCTGTCCAGAATACAGCTGGGAATAACAACATAACACTGAGGAAGAGACTGGTTGGAATTTGTTGCAATTAATTAAATATTTATTGATCACACAGCCAAAATTGTTGAGGTTACTGTGTGCTGCAAGTAGATTCCGTTTGGTTCAACACAGAGTAATGTTAACTGTTTGCAAACATGGTTGTATACTTGTACAGAAATAAGTCTATTTTAGACCCTATTTCTGGCCTCCAATTTGACCATACAACTCTGTTAATAATGAGTAGCATTGCTGCAAATTTGAGAAATGATGTATGATCGAACATGGAGAATAATCTTATTGGATGTCACGGCAGACTAATAATTGGTCAAAAAAAGTCATTAGAGCCTGCTTTTTTCCTCAAAACATGTTCAAAATATCACTAAAAATGCAATGCAACATGAGATTCCACTGTGCAGATGTAACTAGGTTTAGAAGCACCTTCTTGCTAAGATCAATAAGATGTCTTCTGAAAAAAGACGAGTTGGGTCCTCATTCGCCATGTTCAAAATATCATTACATGTCCTCTCCAACAAGTACCAGGTCAGCTGGGTTTACCACCGGGCGTGTTAAACCTAATCATTATGAAAGAATAGAATAAAATGTTATTTTTAGAGGCACATGCATACCCGTGGTTTTGACTCTGTCTGGTGCAGTGGTTATGGTCTTAGAAAAACACCTCTGCCCTGAGTTTCCTTTTTTCTTCAGCCTAATTGCCTGTGGCACGTGAGCTGTTGGAAAAGCCGGGCCTGGTATGGGCTTTCAGCTGCTTCTCTCATATCTCGTTCCACTTGTCAGGTCTGTCAGACTCTGGTTATTATTGAGAAGCTCCTGATATGCAGTATTTCTGACCTAAGGCTGCAATCTGAGGCGAAGTAAAAATTTTGAATGACTAATTCAAAGAATTTTTCATGTCTAAATACTTATGCAATTGATGAAATGTCTTTGTTGTTCAGTGGGATGTCTGACATTTCAATAAGACACCTGACTCATCTGAGGACTGAAGACAAACATTTTTGAAAAAGAAAAAAAAAAGAGTTATTAATTGGCCATTTTAAATAATATGTTGTGGTTTGGGCAGCCTGATCTATGTAATGTATGTAATAATATATTAATATGTAATATATATATGATAATATTATATATTATATATTATATATTATATATTATATATTATATATTATATATTATATATTATATATTATATATTATATATTATATTATACATATAATATATGATATTATATCTTATATATTATACATAATACATATATTATATCTGTAATATATGATAATATGACATGTCCTAACACGCTTCAGTTATTTGAAATTAGACTTATTTAAATCATAACACATGACTCAAAACATATGGACTTATTCTTCTGTATGTTCCAGATGGTAGTCAGTAGTTTCTATGTTGGCCCTGTCTTTGAAAACAAACAGTTGCACATCTGATCTCAAATAACAGCACTACAGTATGTGATAAAAACAGCCTTGCTTCTACTTAAACGTTCGCCATTAGAGTAGAAATTGTACTTGAGTATTTATCAAGTTTTCTGAAATTGGCCAAGAATTAGTTGCAGGACAGAGAGCCAGGACAGAGAGCCTCTCGAGGTCTTTTCTCAGATATTTTTGTCAAAAGAGTTTGTAATATCAGCCTGAATGTTATTGCTTTTCCCCTCACACAGTGGTGGCGCTTTGGCCCAGAGTCAATGTCTCTGTCATTGGTGCGGAACCCCAGGGTTCACCTCCTGGGCAAGTTTGAATCCCTGTTAGGGCAGTTGGTACCTTCCAGTGGACTCACCACCCGCAGGAAGGTTCAGGGGGGTTGGTACGGTGCAGTGTGATTTGGTTGGTGGTCATGGAGACTGCTGCCCCCGTGACCCGGTAACAGATAAGCGGATGAAAATAGATGGATGGATGGATGGGCCTCACACAGTGTAGAATTCTGACTCTCACAGATGTGGTAAAAACTAAAATTGCAGCCATTAGGCTCTATGACATCTATAAGCCACTACTGTGGAAGTGTTTAACATATGGTGCATGGGTCAGAACCAGCCAGCAGAAAGGCTTAATCTGCCCAACAAGAAAAATGCACTGTAAATGTATGGTTTGTCAGCTAAGGTTGCAATTTTTACACACGTGGAAAGATTTTAAGTATT